TCTATATGGTGGGATGCAATGGGAGTTTGAGTTATGAAAAGGTAACGTGTCTTTGAATTATCCTTTTCTTTATGTTGCCGTGAACGTGAATTTTAGAGCTTATGTATGTGTGTGCGTACGTGTGTGTGCGTGTGTGTGTATGTGTTTGTTTGTTAGGATGTCGGTGAATACGCATGTGTTGGACGGGGAGTGGAGGGGGAGGGGTGGGGGCTACCATCTAGTACACTGTAACGTGAGCGCCCCACCACAACAGCACGCTGACGTCATAGCACGTGCTTCTCTGTAGTGAAAGGTATGTTGTTTTTTTTTTACCCCCCTCGCTAGTCCATGACGTCATGGAGATCCTTCCGATACACACGGGGGGAGGGCGGGGAGGGAGGTAGAGAAGGATGTAATTGGTTTACATTGGCGTAACAGACTACAAAACAATGAACTGGGGGAAGAACATAAGAAGAATGATCGGGGAATGTTTATAGCAGGACGATTGTTGTGTTGCTGTATAAAAGGGTAGAAAACGTTTGTTATTTTTACAATTTTTTTTGCTTAACTTGATTCCTCTTGCTTCGGTATGGATAGAAACTTGCGAACGAAATTTCGACCACTTCTACCAAAGCGGTTCTTTTTTGTGCTTACACAAAATGATTTTTAAAAAAATAGTTTCGATCTATGCACTTGTAAAATGATCAATGTTGTGAGTCTCTGATGTTAATCGATTTGTAACGTTTTCGTTTACTTTTAGTTCTACCGTAATATATATTTTCATCGTCGTTATCGTTGATACGTTTAGTTAAAAAGATGGATTTATTAGTCCAGTTAATAGTTGTTATAATGATGTTGAGGTCAGGGTCAGGGTCAGTGTCAGGGTCAGTGTCAGGGTCAGGGTCAGGGTCAGGTTTAGGTTCAGGTTCAGGTTCAGGTTCAGGTTCAGGTTCAGGTTCATGGTAAGGGTAAGGGTGAGGGTGACGGTGAGGGTGACGGTAAGGGTAAGGGTAAGGGTAAGGGTAAGGGTAAAGGTAAAGGTAAAGGTAAGGGTAAGGGTAAGGGGTAAGGGTAAGGGTAAGTGTAAGGGTTACGTTTATATGAGGTTGCGGTTGAGCGTTAGGGTTAAACAGCTTGCCCTTGTTACAACAATTTGACGTCGTTACAACTCTTTAATCTTTGTAATACATGTATTTGACTTTATAACAACAACTCTTTGACCTTGCTAATACAAGAGTTTGACCTTGTTATTACAAGAGCTACCGGACCTTGCTAATACAAAAGTTTAATTTTGTCAAAACACTTTGACCTTGCTAATATATGTAGTTTGACCTTGTCACTATAACATTTTGACTTTGCTAATACAAAAGTTAAATTTTGTTACAACACTTTGACCTTGCTAATATATATATATATATTTGAACTTGCTCAATATATCTATTCGATCTTGCTCATTTATCTCTTTGACCTTGCTCATATATCTATTTGACCTTGCTCATATATCTATTTGACCTTGCTCATATACCTATTTGACCTTGCTAATATATCTATTTGACCTTGCTCATATACCTATTTGACCTTGCTAATATATCTATTTGACCTTGCTCATATATCTCTTTGACCTTGCTCATATATCTATTTGACCTTGCTCATATAATCTATTTGACCTTGCTCATATATCTATTTGACCTTGCTAATATATCTATTTGACCTTGCTTATATATCTCTTTGACCTTGCTAATAAATCTCTTTGACCTTGCTAATAAATCCCTTTGACCTTGCTAATATATCTATTTGACCTTGCTCATATACCTATTTGACCTTGCTAATATATCTATTTGACCTTGCTAATATATCTATTTGACCTTGCTCATATATCTATTTGACCTTGCTAATATATCTATTTGACCTTGCTCATATATCTCTTTGACCTTGCTCATATATCTATTTGACCTTGCTAATATATCTATTTGACCTTGCTCATATATCTCTTTGACTTTGCTCATATATCTATTTGACCTTGCTAATATATCTATTTGACCTTGCTCATATATCTCTTTGACCTTGCTCATATATCTATTTGACCTTGCTAATATATCTATTTGACCTTGCTCATATATCTATTTGACCTTGCTCATATATCTATTTGACCTTGCTAATATGTCAATTTGACCTTGCTAATATGTCCATTTGACCTTGCTCATATATCTATTTGACCTTTCTCATATATCTATTTGACCTTGCTCATATATCTCTTTGACCTTGCTCATATATCTATTTGACCTTGCTCATATATCTATTTGACCTTGCTCATATATCTATTTGACCTTGCTCATATATCTATTTGACCTTGCTCATATATCTATTTGACCTTGCTAATATGTCAATTTGACCTTGCTAATGTATCTATTTGACCTTGCATATATATCTATTTGACCTTGCTCATATATCTATTTGACCTTGCTCATATATCTATTTGACCGTACTCATATATCTATTTGACCTTGCTCATATATCTATTCGACCTTGCTCATATATCTCTTTGACCTTGCAGGTGAGCTGCTGACCGTGATCAGACAGAACGAGGACGAGAACGTGAGGTTGAGGAGGGAGGTGAGGTCATTGAAGACACAGCTGAGGGAGATGAAAGAGGAGAGTCGGAGGGTGGAGCTAGAGCTGTTACAGGAGTTGGACATGCTGCACGATAAGAACAGCGTCATGAGGTGGGTGTGTGTGGGGTGGGTTCGGGGGGGGGGGGGGGGGTGTGGGGGTGGTGGGTGGGGTGAGGAGGGTGGAGCTGGAGCTGTTACAGGAGCTGGACATGCTGCACGATAAGAATAGCGTCATGAGGTGGGTGTGTGGGGGGGGGGATGTGAGGTGGATGTGGGGGGTGTTGGTGTTGGTGGGGTGAGGAGGGTGGAGCTGGAGCTGTTACAGGAGTTGGACATGCTGCACGATAAGAATAGCGTCATGAGGTGGGTGTGTGGGGGGGGGGGGGTGTGAGGTGGATGTGGGGGTGTTGGTGTTGGTGGGGTGAGGAGGGTGGAGCTGGAGCTGTTACAGGAGTTGGACATGCTGCACGATAAGAATAGCGTCATGAGGTGGGTGTGTGGGGGGGGTGTGAGGTGGATGTGGGGGTGTTGGTGGGGTGAGGAGGGTGGAGCTAGAGCTGTTACAGGAGTTGGACATGCTGCACGATAAGAACAGCGTCATGAGGTGGGTGTGTGTGTGGGGTGAGGTGAGGTGGATGTGGAGGTGGTGGATTAGGTGGGGGTGGAGCTGCACGATAAGAACAGCGTCATGAGGTGGGTGTGGGGGTGGGGGGGGGGGTTGGGGTAAAGTTGGTGGGGTGAGGTGGATTAGAGGTGGTGTTGGGGTGAGGTTGTGGAGTGAAGTGGGTTGAAGTGGGTTGGGGTGGTGATGGGGTGGGGTGAGGTTGGTGGGGTGAGGTTGGTGGGGGTGGTTGTGGTGGGTTGGGGTAGTTGTGGTAGAGTGAGGTGAGTTAGAGGTGGTGATGGGGTAAGGTTGGGTTGTATTGCTGTAGGGTGTTGGTGGTGTGTGTTGGGCTGTGATTTTTTTTTTATTGGGTGAGTTCGATTTAGTTGGGTTAGTTTAGGTGGGGTTTGCTGGGTTTTGTAGTTTAGGGTTTTGTTCGGTTATGTGGATTTATTTGAGGGAGTGTCATTATTTTCGAGTGTTTGGAAACCTTAAGGTTTGAGTGTTAGGAGCGGTCGGCGTGGTCTAGTCGGTATAGCTCGGGCAGATGACGCTCGATAACTGGGGACAGCCACTCTTCTAGGAGAGACATTTCCAAAATCAAATAACTGCTGCCTTGTAGTTTGTTCTTGGTTGGACAAAGGCTATGGAAGCAAATCCAAAAAGAAAAGCAGGCTGATACCGGAGTCAACGGCCTACATGGCGCATAACCAGTTTACACGTATACTTAATTGTGATGGAGGCGTGGTCGAGTCGGCAAAGCTCATGGTTGATAAATTCGAAAAAAAAGTCTCGAGTTCAAACCTTCTGGCAGATAAGGCTCGATCCCTTCCAACACTAAAAATTAAGAACGAAGAAGAAGAAGTGTTCGGAAAATTTAAGATTCCAGTGTATCGGAAACTTTAAGATTTCTGTGTTCGGAAACTTGAAGATTTCAGTGTATCGGAAACTCTAAGATTCCAGATATAGCTTGGAGACTATAAGACCACCCTCGTATAACGTACATCAGAAAACATGTCAAATCATCTAATGGACGAGGTAAAATCGCTTCCAGGCATACGATGTGCAGGCTTTAACACGATATAGAGACAACGTGGCCAGATTTTTCCCGAATGTCAAGCCCAGTATAATTTTGAACCAGACAAACATTTATCAATGATTCCTACCTGGCTATAAATCCCAGCTGGTGTAATCTAATTACCTGGCTACACCTGAGGCATACACCAAAACACGAGAAAAAATTTGAAACCTCGCGAGAAGAGATTAAATCTCACCTCGGTGACGTCATCGAGATTATCTAGATAAAGATTAATAGTGTTATTTTAAAGAGTCAGATTGTAGTGATTCGGTTATAAATGACTTTTCGAGTAATGAAGTTTTATAATCTGATTTGTGTTCATTTAATTAGAGCAGTTAAAAAATGCATGTGGGATTTTCATGGGTGTTCTTCGTTATTTGAGTGCTCTGAAAGTCTTTAAAAAAAAATACGTTTCGATGTTATGTTATTTTTTTTTTTATTTTTTTTTATGAGGGGTAAAAATGGAATATTCTTTTAAAGATTAAAATTTGACTTGGTCGAGTAGAGAAAAAACTTGACTTGGTCGACCAAAGTTAAAACTTGACTTGGCAAGGTAAAGATTAAAACTTGTCTTGCACTGTTTTCGTAACAAATATAATATATAGGCCTATAATATATATATATATATATATATATATATATATATATATATATATATATATATATATATATATATATATATATATATATATATATATATATATATATATATATATATATATTTGTGTGTGTGTATTTTTAGTAATTAAGGGTTAACAAAACATCATCTCTACATACACACGATAAATATATTGATATGTATATATATATATATATATATATATATATATATATATATATATATATATATATATATATATATATATATATATGTGTGTGTGTGTGTGTGTGTGTGTGTGTGTGTGTGTGTGTGTGTGTGTGTGTGTGTGTGCGTATGTGTATGTGGGTATGTGAATGTGCGTGTATGTGTATGTGTGTGAAACACCCCCCACTTAACAAAAACCCTGTCTAGGCCGCCATACATAACACCTCTACACAAAAACCCCAGCTATGAAGTTAACCTGTCCCCCTTAACCTCCTCTCAGCAACCTCCTGGACATCATCAACGAGAGAGCCGAGGCGGCCGAGGAAGAGCTGGAGCGACGGGACAACGAGGACACCGCCCGCTCCCCCGCCCGCAGCGCCAGTAACGTTAGCCAAGTGTCCGCCCTGAGCGACACCAGCATGGGCAGCGACGAGGTGTTCCTCAACGCCCACGGGAACAAGGAGGGCGTGGTGACCCGCGACTGGGAGGTAAGGACGTGTGTGCTGGAGTACACGGAGTTCCGAGAGGTTAATATTAGCATTGCTTTTAGACGTGTCCTGTGGCTTGTGCTGTGTGGTTTTGTGCTGTGGTTATGTGGTGTGTCATGTGTTTGTGTGTGTGGATTGTGCTTTGGTTCTTTAGGGCGCAGAGTTTCTTTCAGGCAACTTTAAGACGGGGGAAAATATCCCCCAACCACCCCCACCTTCATCCCCCCACCCCCAAAAACACGCCTATCCCCCCCTCCCTCCCCCCCCCCCCGTATAAAATGATAATTTATGTAGAAGATATACAGTTTTATCAGTGTCCGCCACCCCCTGGAAAATTTCAAGTACCCCCACCAGCAAGTTTCAAGTGCCTTTCCCCCCCCCCCCCCCACCACCCCCAGAGAAAAAGGCTGAAAGAAACGGTGTGTTCTCCCATATGAGTTTGGTGCGTTTTGTAGTTAACGTTTGTCCTGTGATGTTTCGTATGTTTTATTATATGGTGTATTATGTTGTGTGTCATGTCATATGTCATATGTGTCCTATAGTGTGTCTTGCGTTGTTTACTGTGGTGGGTCCTGCTGTAGTATATGTCATGTTTACTGTAATCTGTCACGTGGTATGCCTGTTTCCTGTGTCATATCTATTGTGACATGTGTTGTGATGTGTTCTATGGTGTGCCCTGTTGGTTGTCCTATATTCTTTGTACTCTGTCTTGTGATGTGTTCTATGGTGTGTCGTGTGCTGTGTCCAGCTTTATGCCCATGTCACGTCATATATGTTGCTATGTGTTCTATGGTGTGTCGTGTGCTGTGTCCAGCGATGTACACATGTCCTGTACCCTCTCGTGTCGTGACGCAGTTGCCACGGTAGTTCTATCGCCTAGAATAGTTCCTCAAACTCCTCTCAAAGACCGAGGCCTTGTCTGTTTGCCTAGCGTGACAACACCTGACTGTTTCTAAACCTCTACCAAAAGAAATGATTTAAGATGTTATTCTTTCACCCTCACAGCTACACGGGAGATATCCAGTGCTGTGATGTTAAAGACGCAATGCATAGCAATGGCTATGTATATATATATATATATATATATATATATATATATATATATATATATATATATATATATATATATATATATATATATATATTTATATATATATATATATATATATATATATATATATATATATATATATATATATATATATATATATATATATATATAGCCCATGCTTATTCACTTACCAGCAGTAATTTCAAAATATTTAAATTATTATTTCATTTTAGCCTATTTTCATTAATATACGTAACCTTTTAACACGGAGTATCTTCCATCCCCCACCCCCTCCCGACACACCCACCATCTTTTAGACGTAAATGCGTCTATAAATAAAATAAAATGTTATAACTTCTTTTTACAATATAATTAGGCCATACAGTCTCAAGTCTTAACGACTTCCCATCCATTATAAAAGAAATTCAAATTATTTCCTTGGCCCATTTCACATTTTACAGCTAGCATCTCTATTCCAATTTTTTATTAATTAAAAATCAACTTTAAAACGGTCTTTTTTTTAAATTTTAAACAAACGTAAATTCTCTTATCACCATGAAACATGTAAAGCCACCATTTTTTTTTTACTTATCTTAATCGTGTGTGGTCTATGAATGAGACACACAACAGCTCTTCCAAACCCATAATAGCCCCCCCCCTACTCGCACTCCTCCTTACACTGCCACAAGCACTATATTCAAATGCGACCCCTCCCCCCCCCACCTTAGATTTGTGAAAGCATTCACCAGAGTTGCAACGAAATAAAAGCAAGCGTCCGCCCCACACCGTCAGCGGTTTGTTGGTTTAGATTGTTTGCGGTTGTTTTCGGTTGTTTTCGGTTTTTAGCCTGTAATCTCTAAACTTGTACAAGCCCCGCTGTCAGGGTTTCTGCTTAATGCGGTGATAAATAAACATCTTGGCAACTACGTCATCCCAGTTACATAATTATACATTTATGTACACCTTAAAGATTATGTTTTTATGGATTTAACACATATATTCGAATGCTTTTTATAGAATTAACACAAAAAATAGTAATATTTTAATAACTATTTTTTAAAATGATAAATGAAACTAATGAATTATCATACTGAATTGTCGTGCTAAATTTCTACTAATTATTAACTAAAATTTAACTCTAACAATAAATGGGAGACGTATACATTATAGTAAAAAAAAATTTAAGTATAGATCAACATGAACGATTTTTGCAATTTGGGATTTGTTTAGAGCCAGAAAAAAAATTGTAATGAACTAGTCCGTCGTGTTATAAAATAATTTGAAACAAGTTATCTGAGAAAAGATGCTATATCTGGCAGATGGAGTAGAGTCCATCTGTTTCTATATTGTGGCTAGAATAAAATACCGCCTACATTCCGAAGGAATCTGTCGAGCACTCATTAAAACTTTGTGGGTTGTGACTTATTATAATTTGTTAGCTGTGTTTCACTCGAAGCTGTGCGGTTGCGCGGGCGCGCACTAGTTTTGAACGAACCGCGCAGTCATCTTGTAAAATTCGTAGTACCTTGTATAAGATGTCTAGAACACTGTACACACAAAATACATGATGCACACTAACTTATTCCCTTTAGGAGGAACGTTGTTTGGTTTTTGGCTATTTTGCATTATGTTGTCAAAAGTACGGTTATTAGGCAGTTGCAGAAAATTTAAAAAAAAAATTACTTCAGAATATTAGAAGTATTTTGTATCAGGGAAGATACGAAACGGAGAACTGCGCAAAAAAAAGCAATAGAGCATTTTGTTATCTTAAATTGAGCATTATAGACATTAAACATTTGCAAAGAATGATCACATGTACACTGTAGCATAATAAAATATACTTCCACAAAAAATGACAATAAAGTGTATTCGTATAAATAATTCGCATTTGCGCTTTTTTTTCTGTCTGCGTAGTTTTCCATCGCGCAGTTTTCCGTGTACGCAATTTTTTTGGGAACGTTGCAAAATACCGAAACGTTATAGAGAATTCTAATTTTTATAACCTAATAAGCATGAGAGCGAGAAATATATCTGACCCTCGGCTAACCTTTCATTAACCCCACCCATGTTACGCCCCTCTCTTACATAACTTTAAAACTAACGACCTTTGACCTACAGCCGGATAACTTTCAACAGCCCATCTGCTCTTCTTCTTCTCTTCCCCCCCCCCCCCCCCTCCCTCCCACTCCCCCAGTCCAAACTCAAGGTCAGGATCGAATCCCTGGAACGTCTGCTGGCCGAGGAGCGTCAGAAGGTCAGCATGGCGGAGAAGAAGCTCTTGCTAGCTGGCATCAACACCATAGCGCCGTCCGTTTCGGATGACGTCAAACTGCGCATGCGCGAGAAAGAGCTCCTGCAGGAGGAGGTAAGTCAATCCGTCTACCCTTTGGGCGAAGAAGTTGCGTCCCCTTTTGTCTCAGCAAATGTGTGTTACGTCCCGTGTTTCTGAAATTTATGTAACCGTTGTTTTTTTTTTACTTCGTTTTGTTTCTTGTTACGTGTTGTGGTTTTTGAAATGACGTGAGTCCTTGGTGTGGGTCTAAAGTCGGTGTGGCACCAACCACGTCTCCAGAGAGAAAATACAATTCTTTAAAGAAAAGGGTCAAATGTACGAATTTTGTTATAACAATAAATAGAATTAAAGATAAATAACTTCGGGATCTTGCACGTAATTTAAAAAAAACTCAACACGGTAATCACTGACTCACACCCTGTCCAATGGTCTGGTAAATATGTCACCAACCAGTTCTACGGCTCAATAAAACCTGTATGAGCCATAGAGCTGGTTGGTGACCTACTTACCAGCCCTATTATAAAACACTTCCGCGGACCACCTCATCTCTCGAGAAATCAAAAGGCGGCTGGGCATGGAACTGACCACGACAGTCCTTCATATGTCGTGGTCCTAGAACCATGTCAGCTCTACTTCTTTTGCCCTATCGGGCTGGTAACTAGGTCACAAACTTGTTCTATGGCTCATTCAGGTTTTATTGAGCCGTAGAACTGGTTGGTGACCTACTTACCAGCCCTATAGGCAGCCAGATCCCAAAGATTTTTTTTATACTATTTCTAGAGACCACCGCCCGCACCACACCACCCCCTTGCGTACTCACCCCCTCCCCCCCTCCCCCCCCCCCCCCCCCTGCGCATTTTCTTCTTCTTCGTTCTTAAATAATTCTTTACATGTTATGCGCCAAATGGGCCTTCGACTACTACATAAGTCTGCTTTTCTTTCTGGATTTGCATCAATAGTCTCTGTCCATTCAAGAACGTTATGCAAAGCAGAAATCGTTTGATTTCAGAGTTTTTATCACATGGGTCCAAACTCTGGATTATTGGGTTATCAATCGTGGTTTCTATCACCAAACCATACAAAGTTTTATAGAGTCTTAAACGAAACAGTCTGTAGACCGGCTTTGTTACGTATTTTTCCAACCATTTAATATTACAGGACCGCTCTTTGTTTGAATAGAATGATTTATTTCTTCACGTCTTGCTGTCTGTCAGTCCCAGAGGCGTAGCGACCCTTCCCGGCGCCTGGGGACGAACTTTCGATTTGCACCCCCCCCCAAACTTTCAATTTATTTTTCCAACCTATTTTGGCGCCCCCCCTAAGGTAGGCGGCCGGGGACATATGTCCCCCCGCCCCCTCGCTACGCATCTGGTCCGTCCCGTTAACTTACGCGACAGTCTTTGAGGGTGAGTATAGAACGCATCAACTCCACATTGTACTCATTATAGGAATGCGTGATCGAGTGTTAGAGCGCGCGATTGCTAACCTTTAAGGTTCGACTCCGCAGTACGACAATAGGGCTGGTAAGTAGGTCACCAACGAGTTCTACGGCTCATTCAGGTTTTATTGAGCCGTAGATTTGGTTGGTGACCTACTTACCAGCCCTATTTCACCTTGCTATCTGGATAGGGAAGAATATTCAGCTGGGCATACAACTAACCACAAAACATAGATTCATACGCCTTTGTAAAACCATCAACAGACGAACTCTGCTTCATCTACACACCTGCGGAAAAATACCTTTACTTCACAGTTTATGTCTTGGTATAAATTTGAACGGTTTGTTATTTAATTTTTTTTCCTTGCATTTCAAACGATGCTTTAAGCTTATCAAAATGTTCCAAGCCAAAAAAAAAGGAATAACTAGGTGCTAATTTAAAAAAAAAACAAGCCGAACTCTCATAAACAAACTGTTTCTACTTTTTTTAAATACACACTCTAGCTCGCTGCCCGTTACCATGGAAACGTATGTAACATAAATACAGCCAAGTAAGGAGATGTGGGGGAGAGATGGGGGAGGGGAGAGTGGGGTAGACAAATATGTAGAGGTTTACTTTTGCAGAGACCGAGATTTATTTTAAAGAAGGGGGGACCACTCGCGAAAATATTTCACTTTAAATTAACGTCATTTCAAGCAACAATGGCGGCAAGGTGCACGCGGGCTAAAAATAGCGCGACTTTGTTGTTTGGCTGAGCGTGTTGTCACGTGTGCTGGTGTTGATTCACGAGTGATTTGTTTTTTTTCTTTTTGTGTGTGTGTGTTAGAAGTGTTCGCTATTTAGATGTTTCTGTGCAGTGGGTTGTTTTTTTTTTTTTTTTGCATGGAGTGTTGTAAATGTTCGTTGCTTTGTTCGCTGTTTACAGCTCCTGTTTATTGAAGCTGGAAAATTCTACAGCTCCCAAAACTGGTCTAAATTACATATCCCTATAACATTCGATACCACAGCTTCAAATGTTCGATACAACAGTTTCTAATGTTCGATACTTAAGCTCCTAATGTTTGATGCCACAGCTCCCAATACTGTTCGATACGATAGCTCACAATATTATTCGATACTACACCTCCCAATATTATTCGATACTACACCTCCCAATATTATTCGATACATCTCCCAATATTATTCGATACTACACCTCCCAATATTATTTGATACTACACCTCCAAATATTATTCGATACTACACCTCCCAATATTATTCGATACTACACCTCCCAATATTATTCGATACATCGACCATTACCAGTCCAAGAGACCATTTCTCAGACAACCATTCCCCCCCCCCCCCTCACACACAAACACACACACACTACAGCATATACACCTACCTTCCCCACTTCACCTCTTCACATATCGTTAGAAAAAAGCCCTTACCCCCTCCCCCCCCCCCCTTTCCTCCTCTGTGAAGCTCTATGTGAGCAACATAACTATCTCACACGTAGGCCTATTCCTCTGCGCCTAAGTTTATAAAACGCTTTCCTTAATTAAATGTTTACAATGTTTAAAAACTCCACTAATTAAAGCATAATTAACTAAATTATTAAACAATAACTTATTAGAGAAATAATTGCACTTAATATCTCCATCATTTTCCCTGTCTTTAATTAATTAGCCCAGCATTGCCCATGAAATTAGTTAATTAGCCCATCATTATCTCTTTTTTTAAATTAATAGTTCCATCATTATTCTGTTTTCAATTAATTAGTCCCTCGTTATCCACCTGGTTGTGTGTGTTAGTGATGCCGTCGTTTTGCTTGTGTAACTGTGCGTGTGTGTGTGTGTGTGTCTGAGTGTCTGTGTGTGTGTTAGCGGGTGTGTATGTGTGTGTGTGTGTGTGTGTGTGTGTGCGTGTTCGCCTGATGGATGGTCTGAAGGAACTTTCCTGTGACTCCGCCCTTTTTGTCCTGTAGTCAGGGATAATCGCTAATTACCTTGTGGGTGATTTATATCGTTTTGATTGGCTCACATCCCCTCAAGGCCTCAAAGAGTTAATGAGGATAGCTGTCTAGGACATGCGCACTATAGTCTGATTATAAAATTTGTTACTTTTTACAAGCTTTTGTTTAACTCACTTCCTCTGTCTGTCTCTCTGTCAAGATCGAAACGGCCGAGCGAAATTGCAGGCACTTCTAACTGACAGATACGGTTCGTAATTGGTACGTGGGTCAAGACATGAAGACAACGCATCGTAACATTAAATTTGACTTAATTGGTGGCCTGATTAATTTTTTTTATGAAATAATTAAAATTTAAAAAAAAATACTTTTGTGGTCACCGTTGACGTATATTGAAATGTTTTAACGAACTCACCAGATTTAAATATAGCAACCACGTTACCTAATACGTGTTCCGTACTCCGAAACATGGTGCTGGTGACGCTAAGCGCAGTTAATTAGCGAAGTTGGTCTTGGTTAATGGTCCCCCCAATGTAGTACACATTGGGAACGAAGAAGAAGAAGATGCGCCTTTATCTTACTATGTGTGTTTATCTGGCGTTTGATATGAACAAACGTGAACGCTACAAAAGTTATCTACCCTTGGGGGTATTAGAAAGGAGTTGCCTTTCTTAATATTTGTTTTCGTTCAATTTAAACATAATAAATAACTGTATATTTTATTTCATTTTCAAAACAAACGGAATTTCTGAGTTCAAGGTCATAGCGGAACGGTCACCGTGACACGCACTTCCGTTTCTTGAAATAATTAGCCGGATTTTAATTTGATTAAAAAATTAAGTTATTCGAAGCCTTTGAGGTTTTATACTGCTGAGGTTACTGTGTGCTATTTTAATTGGGAAATGTGTTTTTCATTTCTGCAGTTGCGTAATTTGTAAGTGTGAGAGGGGGGGGGGGGTAATTTTTTTATTTTTATTTTGACTTTGATAAAGCGAACATTTATTTAATGGTTGGTTGCCGTAGTTTGATTGGATGGTCTATTCTAAATGTTAGGTGTTAGTTTTTAAAAAAAGTGGGGTTGGAGGATTTATGTCATTTTGGGAATGGTGTTATAGTAAATGAAGGTGTTAGTGGTAAGATGTCATTTTGTAATATTAATGGTGTCTTTTTCGTACAAAAGTAGGTGGTGTTTTTTTCCGTACAGAACTTGGTGGTGTTTCTTAAATAGCTCTTAGTGGTGTTTTTATATATTAGTAAGTGATGTTTCTTATATAGATAGGATAGGACGGCGTGGCCGGGTGATAGAGCGCTCGACTAGTAACTCACAGGTCTCGAGTTCGAATCTCGGTCTCGTGAAGGGGTGAAAGGTGCTAAGATAAGGATGGGGGTGTGATATACCTAAAATAGGTGGGAGGGGGGAGTAATAACGTTTTTATTAAGGGTACGGGGTGTTAGAGATATGATATGCGAGGATGTGTGAAACAGCTAAGATAGAGGTGTGATATGACTGAAGTAGGGGTGGGTAAGTTACACATCTTTTAGTACGGGTGGGGGTGTTACGACTGTGAGAGTGATGAGGATTTGATGCAGCTCTGATAGGGGTGCGCTACTATTGTGATGGGGGTGGGGGCTGGATACGGCTATGATAGGGGTTGTGTGTTATACAGCTATGAGATAGT